AAAGCTAGTGACCAAAAACATCCAATTTAGTTTTAAAACTATAGCGTGAACAGATGGGATTACTTTACTTTCTTTTTTTAATAATACAGAAGCATCCCATACACAAATCATAATCTTGTGACTAAGATAAATTTTTGATATTATATTGAGATTTGACATTCAAAGCCGTTATTAATTTTGGCCTTAAACAGCATAACGTCTTGTATTGACCATTTGCTTTTCCAAGCAGCTTGGCCGGCAGTTTCAGGGCAAAAAGGAGCCAATATGTTGTCTGTGGCATATGTTATACAGATCCCTTTAGAAGAAGAAAGTAATAGGGTTAAATGTAGTGTATGTGTTATCCAGACTATGTCTGATTTTATCAATATTAACAAAATAAAAAAAGATCGATGTATGTATGCATGTATGTGGCACATGACATACCAATCGGTTTAGACGTTATTCTTTTCGTAGAATCCTATCAAACCTTTATTTCGACTGCATGGTTAGTGCGGTGGCTGGGCAACTGGCCGCCGTGCAACGTGTCGCGGGTTCGATTCCCGCACGAAACAACTCTTTGTGTGATCCACAAATTGTTGTTCCGGGTCTGGGTGTCATGTGTATGTAAAATTGTATGTTTGTAACCGCACCCACGACCTAGGAAAAAATCCTAATGAGGGGCAACGTTATTTTTAAAGAAAAAAAAAATATTAGTTTCACCAACGAATGTTTACACTGATATATTTATCCATACATTCAAACTCACAATTTTGAGTTTATTATATTAGAATAAAAGATTTGCAGATCTGCTCCAATAGATGATAAAGAACCTACTTTTCACTAACGAGCTAAATCGTACGTCATACCATAAAACTTACTACCATAAGTTTCTTTGGAAACCCATAAGAAACCTCCATCAATAAAATCGAGTTTGAATTTTATTACTTTAACGTTTTAATGCCGTAATTTGATGTAGATATTAATCTGCAAAATTTTATAGAAATGACTATTTTAATTTATTTTCATATTACGACATTACCGGCCATGTTCTATGATGTTATACGTAGTTTATTTCGAGCTGAGTATTGCAGCTACATTTCATAAATTGATGCATTTTACTATTTTTCTATTAATCCAAACTAATGTCTTACTCTGTCTGTCTGCCTGCCTGTCTGTTTTTTATTCACGCCTAAACTATTTAACCTATTTGTGTAAAATTTGGTACAAGTTATGGAGTTTCTTGCTCTTTCTTCTCCGTTCGAATCTACAATTTGGAATGAGCACCTAGCTTCACTGACGAACAGACTGACAGACTGCTTTTCTATTTTGACGTTTCAAACGTACCTATTTATGGTTTTGTTGGAATAAATAACTTTGACAGACATAGGTTGGAACTTGAGAAAGGACATAGGATAGTTTAAATAAAAAAATTACCGTATGTCACTATTCGACGCGAACAAAGTCGCGGGCAAAAGCTACTATGGATATATTTCAATAAACTTAGAGGTAGCTCAGTCTATCTGTTATCATTTTAACGAGATAGGTCGGTAAACTTAATGACAAATTACCTGATGGTAAGCAAAAGGCACCGCCCATAGACACCCGTTATACCAGAGGAGATACGAGAGCGTTGCTGGCCTTTTCGGATTGCGATACCAGATACGGCGAAACACTACGCTTTGGTTGTTTCACGCCAGTTGTCTGTTAGACCGTGGTGTCACTCTAAGCAGGGTTGTCCCACAAATGATTCTTATGCAGGACATAAGACAATCGATTGGATATTACTTGTGCTTTCTACCGAGGCTCGCCTAGTTTTAAGTTACGAAAAGGGTTCATAAACATTTCAGAACCAATTCCTGCTCAAGATATGGTTACCAAATTTCTCTCTATTATTAAAATCAATTGGTGAAAACTGGCTTGCGTTAAACAAGGCTAATCCGTGTATCCCTTTTGGATTAAAATTGATATAGATAATGATTAATAAAATGCTATTAATTCTACACGGACAACGTTAAAGGCAAAAGCTAGTATGCAAATGGTCCCGTTTTTAGTATATTATTGCTGATTGCATGGTCTTCTAGAATGTTTTTCTCAAGTAAAAGCAGCTTTCTAGTTATGTTAAGTATTTTATAATGTACCTAGGTAACGTTGAAAAGTATCAGTTGCAAGTAATACGGTCTTACTGCCAGACCGGACGACATCTTTCAGTTGATGATTAAAATCAATAATATTTTTAAAGCCATCTTCGACATACCTAATAAGAAAAACATTGGCAATAATTGTCTAATTATGTTATTTCATGGGAAATTAATAAACAAATAGGAACATGAACATGGACGGATTTTTTTTTTCGAAAAAAGGCCTTCCGGTATTAAATCGGATACACACACACACTGCACTGCACAACTTAATTTTCCTAGTCCTTCCCACCATCGTACCAGTAGAGAGTCGGCAAAATGTCAGCGCTTTATGGCGAATATACCACCTACACACACAAAGCGATTTGGCCCCAGTTTTATAATCAGAATCGTTGAGAAGTGGAACTATATTCCTGATTCAGTGTTTCCCGCAGGACCTGGGGTTATTCCAAGGTAAGATCCATCATCGCTTTCTACCAATTGAGATAGTGGCAAAACACCAGCCAAACAAATAAAATAGCAATAAACAAAAAATACAAAGAAAATCTTCCTCAAATGCAGAAATTCAATTTTTAATTCAAGCCACACATTTTTTATGCAACAAGGTTTATCTAGTAAGATAAGTACGGGGTGTCGGTCCGTGGTTTGTGCTAATGGACTTCCCTAGTCACGGGCAAGCCCGCGGCCATCTCTAGCTGTACGTATGGGCACCAAGTGAGCGGATTCAGAAAACAATGGAAAAGGATTCACATGTTACGGCTTACGTGAAGGATTTTCTGACCTACTTCGAGAGGTCGTTACAAATAGATGTTTTTGTCGAATGCGGTTTTTAAACGAATGGCTTTGTTTTTGTTTAAGTAAGTAATTTTGTTGGAATTTGTTTGAAAAGGCTGTGTGTGTGGTTTTAGTAATGTTCAAATTTTTGGGTTGAGATGAATATAGTACGAAAATACAATGGATGAAATGAAAATATTATTTTATTGGTATTAGAAGACGTTGTGAGGTTAAAAGATAAACCGATAAGTACTTTTATTGATCGGAATGATGATGTATTTTATAATTAGTATGCGACTTGTAATCAGAGGTCTGTTTGTGAGATTGAAGTATACCATCCAATGAAGCAATTTCTAACGCTTTCCACCGATCATTGTATTAAAAAATCGTATGTCATCACAGATACCTAACGAATTCCAACTTATTTTTTTGGAATGTGGAACAGTTAAACACATCCATCCATCTATTTAAAAGTTATTATATATGTGTTTCTTTGAATTAAGAAAATCTTCACTAGTTTCGCTATAAAACGTCGCAGCTTGCATGTCTCTGAGTCGTATGTACTTAGTCGACGGGGCAAGTCGTCATTTTTGAAATAAAATACGTCTCATCATAGTAATGTTACTATGCAAAAATCAATACATTTATCCCAAATTACAACTTTAGTTTTAATAATATTAGTACCTATACTCGGAATTTTAATTCCATTCCAGATTTGACAATTTCAGTGTTGCAACGTTATGACACGCAATAAATAGTGACGTTGCGAAATTATTCGATATAGAAATCGAATATTTCTGAATCGATTCCTCTCGTTTATAAATTTAATCTCGTTAACTAAGCTTATCAGGAAATAACATATTTCTGAACCGATAGTTTAGTTTTGACAAATAATTAACGATCTGAGACTTTTCTTTTGTAATTGTGTGTGAAATTAATAAAAAATGTGATCATGAAGGAAAATGACAACTAAAACAGAAATTTAATAAATTGTCGCCGTCATCGCTATCGCTATCGCTGTTACTTTCTGTAACATTTGTTATGAAATACAATATGGGATACGCATTTAGACCATTCGGTAGCCGTAATTTTTTGAATGCCTTCCTGATACTGATTCACTCATTGTTTATCGATTTTTGTGTTCATCACTACACTGCTATATGTGGTATCATTATTTCACAAAATGACAATAGGTCATGTCAAATCAGGAATCGAATTAAAATTCTGACTATAGTGAGTAAGATTTTAAGTCTGTACGCGTCAATGACATTCGTAAGTAAATAAATTGCACAGTATTAGCTCTAGACATCACGTGCATCTTCTGGCTCCACACGGAATCGCGTATTTTATATTCCCGCGACGCCTTATCTGAGTGTTGTATTGTTGAGATTCAGTTTAGTCCTCACTATCTAGAGAATTTCATCGAGGCTTTATTTTATTTTGTTTTCAAACGCTATGCTCTGCGGAATTGAATCCGGAATTTCGTCTTTTGATTTTCGTATTGTTTTGTTATTTTCTCGGTACCGCTTTGTTTGTTGAATTGGTTATATGTTTTAGAAATATCAAATTAAATATTTGATCGTATCTATTCCAAAATTTGTAGGTTTTCAAATGAAATAGTAGGTTTAATATTACTTTTCTTTTGCGATTTTGTAGGTTGTTAGAAATAAATCGTCAATTCATTGCTTTCGCCCAAGGTGAGGCAAGAGAAAACGACTCTTACTGACTAAAAATCGTCCCGTTGCTTCTCCTACTACGAGCCGAGGCTGCAGTACCTCGTTGCCCCCGCCCGTAACCCTGTTTGAACATTGGCCCTATTAGGACCCATTTATGGTGGTCTATTGGCTCTTTGCTAAAAGCTACGTGCCGTACAATCAGGTCTGGTTCTGTTCGGAGTGTTCGGGCAGCGAGCAACCCTTGCTCGTCGTCCGTAGACGTACTAGATATTTATTTCATATATCGTCCATTTAGCATGCTACGTAGTTTTTTAAACCAACTATAGTTGAAGAAAAACCAAGTATTTTTCTAACTTACGAAACAAATTAAGACAGCATGGACAAATCATTTCTACTTTCTACCATACTGACCTTCATTCTTTTTCTTTTACAGCTGCCTCATGGTGCGAGGGTGCCCGAGATGCGACTTGTCCCCGAATCTGTGGCCCTTCACTGCAGAGCGAGCCAGTCTGCGCAACTGACGGATACATCTACCCTTCTCTTTGTGAGATGCGAAAGAAGACTTGTGGAAAAGGTTTGTATATTTTCCTAAAAGATAACCGATTTAAGACAGAAAGATATATCATTTATACAATAATCCAATCTAATATTATAAATGCGAAAGTATTCTTGTCTTTTCTTCACGCCTAAACTACTGAACCGATTTTTGTAAAATTTGGTACCGACATAGTTTGGAACTCGAGAAAGACCATAAGATTTTTCATAGATAGTTTTTATACCAAAAAAAAAAATCTCTAGGAAGTCACTCTCCCACGCGAACGGAGTCGCGGGCAAAAGCTTAGTAGGAGATAAAATAGACACGTCAAATGTAAAAGAAAAATCAAAAATGTTAGATTCAGAGAATTTGCCTACCCGGAACACATAGTTGAGAACTGGTTTTGAAAGAGATTTTCTGCATCTGCATGAACACATTGCACACGTAAAGGGACTGAAGGTTTTTTCTTCAATTACTGCCTAACATGTCAGAGACATTTTTAATTAAATGCTAAATAATATTTGCCCACATTTACAGGAGTACGCCTAGCCCAAGATCAAACATCTTGCTCTCGAGCTCAAGGGTCTAAGTGCGAACATCGGTGTACATCTGAGAGGGACCCCGTATGCGGTACCAATGGCAGAACTTACCTCAACAGGTGTATGCTGCAAGTTGAGATCTGCAGGTAAGGCATGGAGGAAAATCCGAATTAAAGACCAAATTAAAAATCGTAAAAATAAAATATTGCTCAATCCTTAACAAATACTGATTTCCTTAATATTAATAAGTTCTTTTCTAAAACAGTAGTTATTATACATATATTCTTTAATAGTATAGATGACGGTACAAAAAAAAATATGTAAATTTTGGAGAGCTATATTTTAGCACGAGTGGGTCAGCTTAACTAGAGTGAAACCATACACTCATAGACAACCGGTTGAAACAACAAAAGCGTTATGAGTTAACTTATTGGAAGCCCAGTCTTGTTCCTGCCCAGTCACTAATAAATTCAAATTTCAAATTATCAAATCTTTAACCACCAAAGGGCTGACAACGCACTCGTGACTCTTTTGAATCTGCGGATGATCATGTGCCGCGCCGATTGCTTACCTTTCAAAAGAGGCAAAGAGATCATATCCCGCCATGTGGCTGGCTGGGTGAAAAAAAATCTCGATGTAAATGAGACCAATCATGAGATCTCGAGTTTGTGCAAAAGCAGCTCACCGATCACAATAGCATCGCATAACATAAGTAGTATAGGTACATAAAGAACAAATTTGTTTATCACCTAAGAATATAGCGCCAATATTTAAAGCAAACAAATAAAAACACAAATCACTGAATAAATAGACCTACGAGACAAGTTTATTTTTTAGGATAACATTTACAAACAACCCTTTTATTTTCATCATCATCACTATCGTCGTCTTCGCTTGACGATGATTTGCTCGAAATGGATATTTTTTTCTTAACTGCTCTTATCATAGATTCTGCTTTTATCGTCGCTTTACTTTCTATTTTCTCTTTGACGGAGACATCATGTTTCGCGACGGGTACGGAGACATCATGTTTCGCGACGGGTACGGAGACATCATGTTTCGCGACGGGTACCGAGACATCATGTTTCGTGACGGGTACCGAGACATCATGTTTCCCAACGAGTACCTCTTGTTTAGAAATATATTCATTTTTTAATTCTTCTTCCTCTGTTATAGAGTCGGCATCGGACTCTCTCATTTGGGAGCATGCAACAACATCAGTGCTCACAGGGAAAACTGCCCCGTCGATTGTTCCCAAGCGCCCCTCGATGGACCCATTTGTGGTTCTGATGGCAATGTATACAAAAGTACTTGTCAAATGAAATTGTTAACTTGTGGGTAAGTTGAGAAACAACTTCTTATGTTTTCTGCTACCCTTGTACTAGTAATAAACTATAAAGATGGAAATGTGTTAAAGAAACATGACATAATGACATAGATTTGTCAACAAACATCTGAAAAATATCTAATGAATTTACATGAAATTTCCAGGCAAGGTGTAGTCCGAACAAACAAAAAACATTGCCAGACTACTCGGCACTGCCGCGAGTCTTGCTGGCGTGTTGCCAGACCAACTTGTGGCTCTGATGGCAAGCTGTATGCCAACGCTTGTAGGATGAAAGCTAGTAACTGCGGGTATGTATTGCCTATTCTTATGCATAAAAATAATGTATTTAATTTACTATCGATATTTGAGGTGGACTTTTACAGAGAAATGATGAGATGTAAGTACTTAAAGACGATAATCATAGTCTATTGACTATTATTTTTGAATCCGTCAACAATAAATAGGGAAAAAGCTCAGAGTTGTATGCTTATAATAATTTTAGATACACTGCCTTGTTTAGCAATCAAGACGTAAATGATGGTGATTACAGCTGAGGCAACCATTAACTTGCTCATACAAAATGTTATTTACAGATATTTGTACATCAAGTGGGGCGAGAGTCACAGATTCTTACTGTCCACACTGATTTTTTCAGCTGAGGGCCAGACTCCACTTACATTATTATGCTTGCACAAGCAATCCTGGATTTAGTAAACAGTTACATGTTATCAACACAGTATAATTTTGACGGAACAAGCAAAATAATTTTCGATTTTCTCCACTTCCAGAAAACACGTCTTTGAAGTCCCAATGGCGTTCTGTGTGTCTCAAGAAAGGACGTCAGGAGGAGAATCTTGCCCAAAGGACTGTATTGGACAGAAGGAGAAGTTGGTGTGCGGTTCTGACGAAATGGTTTACAGGAATGAGTGTGAAATGAAGATGTTGAATTGCGGGTAAGTGAAAAACACTCCTGACTCGAGAGAGGAACAATAAAACCCTGGCCCTTGCTTGTTTTTTTGGTCGGATAGGTAGACACTTAGACGCATTTTTTTAACCAAAGAAGAATCTAAAACTCTTTGTCTTCCTTGTATTTTTGCTAGGAATCGAAACTTTCGAGAAGAGGAAGGTTTAAAATACAGGAATACTTTAGGTATGCTGCCGTACCGTAGGTCACCGGTGACCTACGCGGCGGTTAACGTGTTAATCAAAATAATTAATATCTTCAAAGGCTTTACGGTTTTACGGTACGGACTATACTCACCGGTTTTCAGGCCAATCTCCCGGTACAGTGCAACACTGTAAAAATGGCACCCTGTGAAAAAAAAATCAAGGTTATTTATTACCTTATCAACTTTAATACTTATAACTAAAACAGAATTGTCAGTTAACAATTGGACTGATAACTAGAGAATGTACCAAAATTGAATAATCTGAATTTTATATCAACTTCCTTCCTAAAATTAATTACATCTATATAGACCAGAAATATTTTAAGAATCGCTTCTCCAGACATTTTTTCCCCAAAAACAAACTTGGTGAAAACCACTTTCAATGTTTTTGCATCAACCAGGAGAATATCTGCATTGCACAATTGGTGCAGTGACTAAACAAGTAGGCAGGCAGTATTCACCGTATCGCGGGTTCGATTCCTGCACGAAACAACATTTTGTGTGATCCATTAATTGTCGTTCCGGGGTTGAGTATCTTGTTTATGTAAAATTGTAAATGCACCCAAGACACAGGAAAAATTCCTAGCGAGTGGGGCAACGTTTAAAACTCACTGGTGTTGAAAATTTCCAAAAATAAGCAGTAATTATAAATATGCTGTATGTAGTAATGCTGTAGTACTAAGTTCATGAACTGATTTAACGCATTTATTTCATCTTTACCAGTAGTGTAAGCAACAGGAAGATTGTGAAGAAAGTTGACATGGAGAAGTGTCGTGGCAAGATGAACCGATGCATGAAGGTCAAGTGTCCTGCTGATGTAGACCCTGTGTGCGGTACTGACCAGAAGGTGTACACCAACCCATGCTTCTTGAAGGTCGCTACTTGTCTGTGAGTATCAGTTTTGCTTGACAAATTCTTTTGAAAATATTTTTTTGTAGGTGTTTAATATGGTAAAGTGAAGCTAAGAGAAAGTAAGTTTGATTGAAAGCATAAATCCCTTGGGGATTTTGACCTCTCTTTTCTGAAAATGAAACCTAGCTGGATTGATTTTTCGTTCCCAAAAATCCTGTACATACAAAATTTCAACGCAATGATAGGAGCCGTTTTCGAGATTCTGTGATGTGTGTACATATATCGCTTAAAGGTAGACCTTCGGTGTTTAAAAGATGGACTGATATTTTTTTTCTCTTGAGGACATCTGATATTATGAACTTTTTCTTGTTTCAATACAAACAGTATTGTTAATCTTCGTTAAATTAAATAATGAGGTATTTCAACGAGACTTGCGAATATAAGTATAAAAAAAACAATATAAAATTACAGGAAAGGAGTGCAACTGGCTCATTTTGGAAACTGCACCTTACTGCCTCGGTTCAAGGAGGATTGTCCCGATACCTGCGAGAATGTAGTCGAGCAACCAGTCTGCGGTTCCGATGGAAATGTGTACAAGTAAGTATTGGGAACGTGACCAATGTTAGATCGTTTGGGTGATAGAAAAATAGAACTTATACAATTAGGTTTATAACAGAGAACCTGTAAGTTTTAAAATCCGACAACTTAAGAATAAAATAGTCTGTAGTATAAAAAACTGGCTAAGAGTATCAGGTATTAAAGAACAGCTTAGACAAGGTAAACAAATATTTGTATTTCAAAAGAAATTAATATCAACGTTTAAGCGTTAAAATAGACTGAAATTGAATAATGATATCTGAGAAATTAATATACAACACGTTTTTTTTTAAAGAGTGACGATGGAGTTTCTGGCTCATTCTTCTTCATTTGAATCCACATTTTAGAACGAGTACTTAGTTTCACTCTTTATATTCGACGTTATAAATGTACTCTTATGTAATTAAGTGGATTACTTTATCAGTCAAAACCTTTTATTCCAACTAAACCATACAAGTACTTACAATTTTGGTGTCCTTTCATCAATAAGTTTTAGTAAAAGACCATATTAACGTTCCTAAATATTTTTTGCCATTGTTTCAGATCTGAATGCGAGCTCCGCCTAGCTACCTGTGGACAGCATGTTGTTCCTGTAGCTGCCTCCCACTGCCGTACCACTGCACTCTGCCACGAGGAGTGTCCTGACACGCCTGCTTTCATCTGCGGATCCGACAACCGATTCTACAAGAACGAGTGTTTGATGAAGAAAGAGAACTGCGGGTGAGTCAAGGACGAAAACAGTCTTTATTGATTCTTCTTTCATTCAAAGTCTTATTGGTCACAACGTCACTTGTTAGATTGTCTAAGAAAATCGCGCCATTTTTTATAATATAATTATTTTTTTCTTTGGAAGAGGAATAATTTAAATTCGATGTGCGTGTGTCTGGTTGTATTATTATTTTTTTCTTTATAAAAAAGAAATTTCAGTAGAAATGGATACGAAAGTGTACGAACCGGTTACCTATAGGTTCGTAGAATTTATATTAAAAATATATGTCTAATCGACGTGTGAATGTCGAACATTTTATTAAACCGAATAGCCACCATAATGAGCGTGATTTAGCTGCGCTCATATACTATTTCATTTACAACTTGAAAACAAAACAGAAAAGAATTTCAAAAAAGCGTAAATTTTCTAATTTTCCTAACAGTGTACCAGGCGCCCATAATCAACCTAGAGTTAATTTTCCAGCAAACACGTGTTCGTTGTACCACTGAAGCGGTGCCTGGCTCGCTTCCAATACTCGGGCTGCGCCCGCGTGTGCCCGCCTGAGTACGACCCCGTGTGCGGTACAGACGACAAGACTTACTCCAACAAGTGCTTCCTCGAGATGGAGAACTGCCGGTCTAGGTGAGTGCCTTGCGTTTCTGTGAGCCTAGTACTTGTAGTTGGGAGTTGGTATTATTTTGTTGTGATAGATTAGGTTACCCACGAAGAGAATTTAAGAATAGCATATCATACGTGAATAACATAGTACATCAGTCACCACGCCTACTCTTGAACTGGGTGTAGTAAGAACCAACAAAGAAAATCCATATTAAAATTTGACACTAACTTGATATCAACTGGCAACTTCATAATTATGTGACTTTTCCAAGCTATAGGCTTCCTAAGTTTATTTAGACACCACTGATATATGATGAAGTAAAACATCGTGAGGAAATATGGACTTCTTATTATAACTTCTTAGTATAAGTAAAATCGCCAATGTAACCAAACCAAGCGTGGTGATTGATGCTCAAACCTTCTCCGTGTGAGAAGAGGCCGAATAGTGGGAACTTATGTAATGTGATCTATTAAACTTGAACCTTTAAAACTACGATTTCCAACCCGTCTTACAAACAAGGAGATTATCACGATTAAGAATAAAAAAAAAACACAAACAAACTAATACTTTCGCATGACTATTTAATATGAGTTGTACAAAAATATTTTGGGATCAGTCCTCGTTTGAACAGATAAATAAAAACGTGTTTAAATAAAGAACAACTAAACATTTTTTTTACAATTTAAATATTAGTTAACAAAAAGGTTTCATAATCAGCCTGAGTAGCCATAAAACATTTTATATAATAAAACCTATTTTTAGAGATCTCATGCTCTGTATACAAACTCAATTTAATACTTTTGTCATGTGTGAATTTGTGCAAATAAATAAATCCGTGCTAATTATTTGAATTGTTTATTTTATGATAGTGACAGTTCAACCGACGCAAATGTGCTATTACTTTGTTAATGTTTATCTTTCATTATTTGATAATAATTCAAATAAAATAGTTTATACATATGTTGACTGATAGTAGCTTCGGAAACTAAATTCTCTAGTATTTTTTCAAAACATCAACATTGAGTATTATATACAATAATTCAAGGTCACAAACCTTGAATTATTTGCTTTTTGAAAATCCAGCGTGATGAGCATTCGCCTTTTTGACTGATTAAGTCCCGACCATTTTGAGTTCCAAAGGGCCAATTTTGAATATAATATTAACAGTTTATACCTACCTATGTGCCTACTGCTGAGCAAAGGCCTTTTCTCATACGGAGAAGGTTTGATAATTAATCACATCGCTTGCTCAAGAAGATTGGCGATTTCAAACTTCTCATCATCATCAGCCTGTTGTCGTCCACTGCTGGACATAGGCCTCCCCAATTGCACGCCACTGAGCTCGATGTTCAGCTCTTCTCATCCAACCACTGCCAGCCACCCTGCGGATGTCGTCAGTCCACCTAGCTGGAGGGCGCCCTACACTACGTTTGCCTAGACGTGGTCTCCACTCTAGAACACGTTTACTCCATCGGTCATCGGTTCTTCGACAGATGTGACCTGCCCACTGCCACTTAAGTTTGCTAATCCTTTGGGCTATGTCGATAACCTTAGTTCTCTGTCGGATCACCTCGTTTCGAATACGATCCTTCAGAGAGACTCCAAGCATAGCCCTTTCCATAGCTCGCTGAGCGACTTTAAATTGGTGGATCAGTCGCACTGTAAGTGTCCACGTCTCGGCTCCGTATGTCATCACTGGTAGGACGCACTCATTGAAGACTTTTGTCTTCAGGCTTTGCGGTATCTTTGACGAGAATACCCGACTGAGTTTCCTATACGCTGCCCAGCCAAGCTGTATCCTCCTAAGAGCCTCCCTCTCGAAGTTGTTTCTACCGAACTGGATAGTTTGCCCGAGGTAGACGTACTCTTGAACAACCTCGAGAGGAGATCCATTGATGGTGATCGGCTCCGGGAGAACATGTTCATTGAACATGACCTTCGTTTTTTGTAGGTTCATCCGGAGTCCGATGCGAGCAGAGGATTTCAAACTTACACTTTCGATATTATCACCGTTCTATATGACCAGGTTTCCTCACAATTTTTTCTTTCACTGTAGGTCATTGGTTTCTTTACTTAGAAAGTGCATATGAATCGGAAAAAAAATCATTGATACTTACTAAATAAATAATTGGGTAGTTACCTAGGTCAAAAATAAATTAATTCGACGTTTCAATACAATACAATATTGAAACATAACTACACTTTTATTAATTGATCGATCGATATACTGAATTTTAGATGTTTTTTAGGAAATTTTTAAGAAATAAGTAAATTATTTGACGCATAAAAACTATGACGTCATAACTCAGTTTTTCATACAGATTTCATAGAAAAATATCGTTTTTGACATTTGTATAAAAATATTGAATTTGACTAGTTGGCAACTACCGTATTAAATAATTATAGAACGATAGAATATAGAATTATAGAACCTTGTCGAAACATTTAAGACTCATCAAATCAAATTTATTTCATATTATATAACTTACAAATGTACCTATTAACCGATCTATTTCTTTTATTTCAGGAGTCTGGTGCAATTGAAACACTTGGGCACATGCACAGAACCCATCGCGGAAGAACCGAAAAACTATCTATATCGATAAACGAATCGATTAACAGTCATATCGATTAATCGCTTTTCTTTCCATAATCGTACTCTCGGGATTGGAATCCCACTTATTAGTGCCAACTTTTTATAAGTAAAAATATACTGTAAAATAATGTAAGCGACCAATCTTCGTCTTCCAATTTATAAAATTTAAGTTTCATATTAACGTTCATAGGTTAATCGATTAAAAATCGATAAGGGATCCACACTATACAATCGCAAACTTCTTCGTATTGGGATTTTGATAGTAGATAACGGTATTTGGATCTTTCTGCTTCACATAAGTTAGTGTGGAAATCCTTAATCGGCTCATAATCGAGTAAGAATCGATTAAGCTATGCTAATTCGACCACTCCATTGCTAAACGGATCAGTACAAAAATTCGAACACACAATATGGCAGACATTTGTAATTCTTTTAGGTTATATAATTAAGTGATTTTAGTTATAATTTTCGACTGTCTATTTATTCTATTATTTATTTCCGTGCGTAGTAGATTTAAGGTTATATTTCGTTTTGTAAATAACTAGTGAATTTCTCGACATATTTATTGTTTTTGCTAAGAATCGATGCATTTAGAAGAAGACTTATTATTTTAACATTTATGACAATAAGTTTTTTTTATATATAAAATTAATTGGTGACAGTTGTGTGCGTTTGCCGCCTGGTATTTGAAGCATTCCATTTTTAAAATAACTGTGTCATGGAATTTTCTTCTAAGTAAATATTTGTATAATTTGCTCAAATATTAACAAACATACAATACATAATATATGCATATGAATATGAGTACTTGTAATCACTTTAAACAATGAGTTAAAAACTTTGACGTATGATTTTTATTTACATTAAAAAGCAAATTTAAATGAATCAGTTATTTTAAAATCATTCATTAATTCTACGCTGTCGATAATTTTAAAAATAGAATTAGATTTACGTATTTATTGTTTAACTTTTAGTATAAATTTTACGATCAAAACATCTGTAATTTTTTGTCAATTTAAATAATAAAATACGTGAATTTTAAACATTTTTTATCTACAAATATTAATAAATATAATTACGTTTCAATAACATTTTTTATACTCTATAATCGTAATCTACCGTGTATTGCCAAGTGTAATAAATAATAATAACAAACCAATAAAAAGATTTACATTTATTTCTTCTTTCATTCATTTATCCTCAATATTATCATTATTATATTCTTCAACACACTTCCTCATAAAGTGGCTCTAATCCAACGGCAATTAGGCACATAATGACAACTATAATCAAACTCTGACTTTTTCATTTCTATTATTCACGAGAGAGTACTATAATTTTTTTTTATTACTGCTTGAGTGACGCTTACGAGTACACTTGCGTCAAAATGCTATCTGCGAAAAGCTCAAAAAAGAGTCTTAGTTTAGTCTATGGCCGTTGAGCGCGCTTAGGAAAATTAATTAAGGAAAATTAATAGAAAAAAATAATAGAATGATTAATTTTTCCCGCCATTATTTAAGTATTATTTTATTCAGAAGTGTGTTGAAAAACGTCGTATGATACACTTGTGTATTGATGATTACAGTCCTCGGCTGTTTAACCCTGCCCTCGCCTTAGGGCTCGGGCCTTAATGCGCCTCTGCGGTGATCACCAACATTTCCCACTTGTACCATAGTGTTCTCGAAGCAAATGAGATATACCTACCTGTATTATATACGGATAAATTTGTTTCATACGATTTTCATGCGACCTGGATCATAAGAAATTGTGTGTCTTGCTTCGATGTTTTTCTTTAAAATTATTAAATTATCTGAATAGACCGATTCCTTCTCTGGTGTTGATCAACCCTAAAAATAAAAGAACAAATCAGAACTCTTGATATTTTGAAGTTAGAATTTGAATTGGTTAATAGCGGCAATCATAAGATTGTTACTATATGCAAATAGGTAGTATTTAAAAAGTTTCAATTTCAAGTGCAGTAAGATTTCGATAAAAATCTAAATAACAGATGTTGCTATGAAATTAAAATAATAATACATCTCTTGTATGGTTATTGCCCATCCTTACACTTTTATTTCTTTTTTTTTATAAATGATAAATTACTTTTAGCATTGGCTACTGGCAACACAAATTTTCTTTATGTATTCCATTAAATATTTGCCTCAATTTTATTTAAATAATAACAAAAAAATATACTTAGAGAATTAATTTACTATGTATAATTAATAATATGTAAATAGGAAAATATATTTATTATCTGTTTCTCTTCTTTTTTTTAACCTCACTCTAGGATTTTGTCCGGTAATGTGAGTGCGTTCACAATTATAAAATTACACATTTCGCATTTACATTCACACCACACCGAGATTCGGAACAACATAATTATGTGGATTACAAAAAGAATTGTAACTATTTTATTCATAAAATATACTACTTACGTCTAATCCGCTCTACTTCGTAAAATTTTAGATACTTTTTTTTTGTTAGGGGAAAATCATCTAATGAATTTCCCACCCAGGGTAAGGCGAAACATGGTGACAGACTCCTACTCAATAAAACATCCCCGTTCCTTCTCCTGCTCTGGGCCGAGGTCGCGGTGCCTCATTGCGCTTACCCTGCAACCCCGACTGAACATCAGCCCTATAGGGCCCCGTCTGTGGTGGTCTATTGGATCTTTGAGGCGCGCGCGGAACGCTACGCGCCGTACGCTCGGGTCTGATTTTGGTCGGGCGGCGAGCTCCTCTCACTCACCGTCGGCAGACCTGCGCTTACAGTGGCCGGTGATCATTTCTCGATCTCCGACGCCCCGGATGGATACATATACTTAGAAAAACGAAGAAGAGGCATATACTTAATGCAGGGAAACTTGTAAAAGTGACTTTTCAATAAAATATCGTATGTATGTAATTTATGTGATTATAAAATACATTGCCAAAACAAGTGAAGGATGGGCAGTAGCGATAAATTATTTCAAAAAAAAAATTATTTATTTATTTATTTATTTATTTATTAAGCTTTATGCACACAAATTTCTGTACATAGGCGGACTTAATGCCGTAGGCATTATCTACCAGTCTGACCTTTGGGTGATGCAGAGATGAGTAAAAACGGTGAGCGCAAGCAGCAAAATTTTAAAGACTAAAACAAAGACTCAATATAATAATGTATAAATTTAAACAAATATATATTAATATGAAATATACTCACGATACACTTATTATAATCCATGCGAAAATCACTTAATATTAAAAACTCTTTAATTGTATTTTTTATTTTTGTCAGTGCCTCAATTGCCTTAGCCAATGCTAAAAGTTTAGCGTTCGGTTTTCAAAAAATATAATAAAAAAATATAAGTTTAAAATAAAAAGTATTGCGAAGAATGGACAAAAACCATACAAAAATTGTGTAATTGAGTTTGGTTTGAGACATTCGTCGCTTTGAATGAAGTTTACAGTTCATTGAGCTCTAACTTATTATATAAAAAATAAAATAAATATCAAAGTACCAATGTAAAACTAAGGACACCAAAGTATAACAGGCATCGTTGAGGACAGAGAAGATCCTAAAGACTAAGAATAAGTCATTCATGTGTCTCCAATTATAGCCGAGAAACATTCAAATATTAGATCAATAAGGTTCAAAATACTTTGCTTATAAAAATCTGAATGCCTTAACAGAATTCAATTCAGAATAAAATTAATTGATTAATTGTCAAGCCCAATAAGAAATTATAAACCGTGTCAAGTACTACAACGAAATAAGTTCTACTAAAGACTAATGCGTTGCTGATGTTAGTGACGGTATGGACGGTTGTTTAAAAGGCCTCTTAGAAGTCAAGATTCCAATAAGCTATATATTTTTTGAAAACCACTTTAGTGTATATTTCTATGAAGAAGAACGAGCAAGAAAGACAATGAAAAGAAAATTTTTGTAGTATGATAGAAGAAGCCATAGTTATCAGGTTTCTCTTTCGGAAACACTTCGATACAGTCGATTACCATGATTTTATGTCTGCAATTTGCCCATACACAACCTCGCGACCAGCTCGATGGGGAAGCCGACCGGTTGCATGTACATTGATAGCTCGTCGACCAGAATCTTGAATTTCGTCGAGAAGTCATTGAGAGCTTCCATTCTGAAGTCGTCATGCCAGGCTACTATTGCTGCTGTAAAATGAATGAAAACTATAAAAAATGTGTGCTATTGTTTATGAATATTTTTTATGTGGATGTATCGGCAAACGACCAGACCTGATGATAAGCAATGGACATCGCCCGAGAACAGCCTGACATTTTAGGAGGGTTGTTAGACATTTGGGAATTGGACAGTAATCTTGGGTGGGAGAGCCATGTTTCGGAACGAATTTACCTGCTCAAACGGATAGACTACAACCGTACAGGAAACCGGCATGGTACAACCACAGCGTTGTATTTCACAGCGTGAGTGAGGTTATTAATCCATCCCCCTCTTAAATTGTATTTAATTGTAATGCTGACAATGCTCTTGCAACTTCTCTGGTGTTGCGGATGTTCATTGGCGCCGATCACTTACCATCAGGTAATCCGTCTGCTAGTTTGTCGATATATCCCAAAAAAACATTACTCACACGGAAAATGACTAAAAGAAAATATTAAGGAAAAATCAAAGGTTTGAAGACACTTTACATAGTCATAAATCATGACTGCCAAAATACTGTTCAGCTACAGCATAGATCCCATTTAAGTTTTCGAATAGGCTAAAGTAGCTGAATGCATCAAAAAACTAACCGTAAAGAGGATATTATTAATACCTTTAAAGTAAAACATATAAAACATAATGATCCCTGTTATAAAGCTAGGGATTTTAAATGGATGGGAGAGCCAAGCTTCGGCACGAATGGGTCGGCTCGACCGGAGTGATAGATACCACGGCCTCACAGAAAACCAGCGTGAAACAACCACAGCGTTGTGTTTCGCCGTGTGAGTGAGGTTACCGGAGGCCCAATCTTTCTCCATCCCCGATCCCTCCCCAATGCCTTAATATCCAAAACCCTAATCCCTAAGAGGTCGGCAACGCACTCGTAACTCCTCCGTTGCGGGTGTCCATGGGCGGCGCTAATTGCTTACCATCAGGTAACCCGTCTGCTCGTTTACCGACCTATTATATAAAAAATGTCAGTGGACTGTTTGATGTACATACTTACATGCTATTACGAAGTAAGATAGTGCCCACAGCCAGAATGGCATCGTGGGTTCTTCCAATTACCAATATTCTGAGGGAAAAAATGTTAAAGAATTATTTCAAATTCGAGATTGAAAAATTAGAGATTGAGGTTGAGAGACGGTTGACTGGATCTCTGCTATCATAGCGATGCAGGTAAATTTTCTTTTAAGGAAGTTATTTTCCTAATATTGGTTTCAATATTGTCTGTAAGGGTTAAAATTGTGCCTGGCATGACATCTAGATAGAGATTTTAAGACTGTGAAATATAATCTGGTAACCATCACTACTATTATCAAGAGAAGTCCAGAGCGCTCGAAGAAGTAAGAGGTTAATCCTTATTTCTTTTCAAACGATCAGTCTAAATTCTAGCAGATAGGAGACAGGTAAGCGATGCTAAATAACCAAAAATATAATTATCATCTTTGTATCATTGTATGTGACTGAGATGTTTTTCACCTCTTCTTGCCACAGTAATCGACTACTAATCACGAAAAAATGTATTAAAATTATCATTATCATCATTGTATATGGCTGATTGTCCATTGCAGGGTATATCTCCGAATTATTGTCAGATAGACCAGCATCCAGCAATTTCTTACTTACCAGGTATAGAATCGTATGAAATTTATGGTCGTAACTGTACATTTTGCATTTCTGGCTATTTCATCTGCATAAAAGGGGATGATAAATATATTGTTTGTTTCCAAATTCTACATTTTTAGCACTAAATGACAAATTGACAGAATCTGTCAACAAAATAACAGAATATTACGGTTGAAGAAAAATACGTATGGAGTTCTTTTGTTTGAGGTTTTAGGTTTTTGTTTGTTTTTTTTTTGCAATATTAACCTGCTGTGGTGCCTGATGTCAGTCTAGAGCAGGAGAAGGAACGGGGAGTTTTTAGAAAGTGATAGTCTGAGACTCTCTGTCACCCTGGGCATGGGAAGTCATTTTTGTTAAACCTGACTTTCTGGGGCAGAGTCCCAAACTACTACAGAAAGACAATGACAATATCTTTTTATTTTTAGAGGAAATCGTCAAATGTCGTTCCATGGTGAAGCGAGACGGAGTGTTAGAGTGTTACTAACTAAAAACAAGTGTATTATATAGTATACCTGATTTATATATATTTATTTATATAATGATATTGTGTTTTTTTCATTATATGTTTATATTATATACATATAGTATCTAAATAATGTATTGTCATAAAATTTTGTTATTTATTCTTTTGTCACCTGCCACTCTCATCTCTCAATCACCCAAAGGTCGACTGTTAGACAATGCCTAAGGCATTAAGTCCACCTTTACATGTATTTGTTTAAAGTGTATAAATAAATAAATAGAAACTACTCTGTTCCTTCTCCAACTCCAGGCCCAGGCCGCGGTACCTTATTGCATATACCCCCAACCTATTCAACTAAAGAAAGCTTAATTTTCAATTAAGACACAAATCAAACATATTTTATAACCGCTGTTTGAATTATCAAAAAAAGATCACATAATGGTAAACATTTTAGTAGAAAATTATTATAAGAGATTACTTACCAATAATAACGCCATTCATGAATTTTCTTGGTATCTAGTGAACCGATTCCAATGCTATATGGCACGTAATAAATCGCGGTCTAAAAACTGTAATAAGTATATTTTAGAAAATTAGTACTAACATACTAGCTAGCTAAAAAAATGTTGGGAGAGTCATGGCACGAATGGCTCGACCAGAGCGATATCACGGCCTGGCGGATTATCGGCGTGAAACAAGACTTACGAAGGATCACTCCTCCCCCTCCCCAACCTTCATCTTTTAATGCCTAATAAGCTTCAATAGGTCGGCAACGCACTTGTAATAAGTTCTTTGGTATTACAAGTGTTCAGCACAGCGCCGAATGCTTAGCATCAGGTAATACCGTGAGCTCATTTGCCGACTTATGTCACAAAAAATATTTATGTCATAAAGTTTGATTAAAATTAATTCATTATTTTTCATGGTGTTTGATTTAAAAGTTTGTGTCAGAAGCCGTAGAACGTAAACGCTGTTAAGGAAAATATACCTACAGAAAAATATTTTATTTGTATTTAAAAAAAAGAAGTGTATGTAATGTATAAATAACCTAATCTGCACACTTAAATGCAAACAACTTAATTAAAATGCCTGATACGAAATATTTATTCAAAAAAAGTAAACATGATCCATTTTTTTATTTGCCATTAGGTAATTTCATATTCTTTCATCAGCTGCCTAAGTCTTTGTTTATTTTTAAAGGATACTCTTTAAACATTTGCTACAAGATATTTCCATGATAAATTGATTTGCAAAGTAAATAGTGTCTTGTCATAACTATGAATGAACTTCTTCATATAATTTAGTTCACGAACCAGCGTTGTCGCTTACGGACGAATGCGAGTCGTTGTCTTGACTAATTTCTTTTAAAATGAGTTGCATTTAACTGTTTTTTTATGCAAAAAAACTACTTATATATATTTTTGTAATAATTTTTTTTTTATGTAAAAAAGTGATGTAGATTAATTTAAAATTTTATTCGAAGTGAGAATAAATTAGTTTGTTAAAGTGTTTTTTAGTAGCTATTGCGTGAACAGTTATTATTTTTATTTTGTTAAGTTAAATTCGTTTAATCAAAAATGAAGAAATACTTTTACTTTTTCGACGAAGGGAGCAAGATTAACCAAATTATATGCGCTGTTTTGGGTAAGTTTGTTTTTTTTTGCTAATTTCAATAGAATCATCTCAAAAATCTTTTTTATATTTAAAAAAAACGATAATTCGATTATTTTTAGAAGGACGTGTTAAATGTCGCTTTAGGTATATGTCTTGTGTATATTAAAATAGTTTATAAAACTTCCCCTAGTTTTTTCCATAATCGTCTCACGCGACAATAGGCAAAACGACACCATCTAATTAATGGTGGATATATATTACCAACATATATGTAACTATCATTTACATGAAACGCTACGCTTTATTATTTTGCTATGGCCTTCTTTGCCATTGTTTCAAGGAAAGAAAAAAAGAAAGATAAGAAAAGCAAACGGCGACCAAACCAATTGTAAACCACCGTAAATAAAAAAGAACTTATTTTTTGTTTGTCATCTTTAGTGTTAAATCAAATCAATGCAAAACTTTTATAATCATAAGAAAGATCATTATTAGCAGAAACCAACTCTATGTACTTTCGATTACAGTTAATTATTCAATAGGCTGTAATGAGAAGTCTCATTGATACTGAATCAGTGGAGTTCTTTCTACATTGCATTATTGACAATGAAGATCTTGTTGGGCAAGTCACATTAAAAGCTCACTCACCCGGACAGGTCGAGCAATCTTATCAGGATTCCCTGATTTACAAATTGTTTGAAATGATATTGAGGAATATTAAGGAATGAGAAAACTAAAGAAACTACTGAACATCGTTCTTAAAAAAAAGATGGCAACCGAACCTTTATTAGATTTAAAGATTTGAGATTTGAGGAGTGGATAAGGTTGGGGGATGGAGAAAGATTTGGGTAATTGCTCTCACAATGCAAGAGTTATTTTACGCCAATTTCCTGTGAGGTCGTGGTGTCACTCCAGTCCAGCTCGCCCACATTTACACGTCCATAGAGATACCCTTCATTAACTCATTTGTCAAGTTCTCACAAGTGTAAAGTATTATTTTAACTAAAGTATTATTTAACCGAACATAAATAAAATCAAATTAGTAAATTTACATATTGGGCTTGGTTTCTCAAAACGTTCTTAGTAATAGCATGATGTATGAAATTGCATGAAATTCAATCTGATTTGGAGAACTAAGAATTCTGTAGGGATTGGGGGCGGGGAAGAATTGGGTCTCCGGTGACCTCACTCACATGGCGAAACAAAACGCTGTGGTTCTTTCACGCCGGGTTTTTATGAGACAACCCTTCGTGCCGAAGATTGGATCTCCCACACTGACAACAAATTTTAAAAATCTTTGTTTCACAATGTCGCTCACATCTAGTTTAGACCTATCTCTAGTTTTGCTATGTTACTTATCACCTTAATTAACCTTTATAACTCTTATTTTTTGTAGTGAACCTACCAGTGTTCGCGTATGGAGCAAGTATAGGATGGATGTCTCCAATGTCATTGCTGCTTCAGTCCAAAAATTCACCCAGAGCTACACCATTGACTGACTATGAGGTAAGACAGAATTTGTCAAGCTTCGGTCTTGAGGTTTTTGACAAATTATCACAGTACTTTTAAAAGAACGGCATCAAAATTTGTTGCGTAGTTTTAACGATTTAAGCCTACTTAGGAATAAAGGGATAGAGAAAGCGATTTTATTTTACACTATGTAGCGAAGAAAAATAAAAAGTATTATTTTGAAGCTTTAATTAAGGATGTCAAATGTAATGTAACGTAACTACAAGGACGTCACTGCATATTTACAAGGTGGCCTTAAAATTAGTCATACAATGGATATACACGCAGTTTTGGCGCTATCCTTTGTGACTACGTAGGGAAAAATAGTACCGTGTCTTCAATTTGTCGACGCCAGTGCCACCACGCATTTTATAGTAAAATTTTAATATCATCGGGTAGTATATTATAATGTATTTATTTTTGCAAGTAGGCCGCAAAACAGTACTAAACTCGTCAAAATGTATGTATATCACATATGAAAAGCCGGATGAAGACGACATTTCCTATCTGACCTTAAGAAGAATATATTAATAATTTAATATATATAAATTTTCATATTTTTTTAAAGTAATGCATAGTCGTAACCAGACATTTCGCATGTCTTAAATATAAGGTACTTCGTAAAACGTTCAAGAAACTATTTTTGTAGGTTGAAGAAAATAGTCTATGTATGTTATTTATTCCTTATAATAATTACACATGCCTATTTTTTCGCCGATTTCCTATTTAACCCTAAGGTTGACTGGGAGAGAATGCCATATGGCATTATTGTCCGCCTTATGTACCATCACTTGTTTTGTGTACATTAAAGTTTAAATAAATAAATAAATAAATAAAAAATATAACTTTTATTAAAATTGATGCACACATTTCTTTTTATTCTCCGATGTATGGTACCACAGTATGCTCGAGTTATGGAAGTTTTATCGAGTTCTTGGTTATAAGCTTGACCTTATTTCGGAGCATGTTATGATCATAAGTTACTGTGTCACATGTACACGTGGACTTATAAACACTACTCAATATAATGATATTGATCTTCAAGTAGTTAGCGTCTCGGTAATTGTGTTTGCAAACGCACCCATGAAAGAACACTTAACTAATTGCGATCTTTGTTTTTTGAAGGAGAAAAATCAACATATTGTTTTCTCTCGCTCTGTGTGCTCTCTCTCTCGTCAAATAGGGAGTGTCATGCTCTTACTGGTTAAAAATCACCACGATGCTTCTCTTGCTACAGACCAGAGTCGTGGTACATTATTCCGCTTACTCACGCAACCCCGTCTAATATTTTGATATGACTAATCTATACTAATACTAGCTCTTACCCGTGGCGTCGCTTACGTCTTTTGACTACCTACCCTACTCCACCCTACTCTGCCTACCCCACTCTATCTACCCCTACTCTACCTACCCTACCTAACCTGCTCTACCTACCCTACTCTACCTACCCTTGTCTACCTACCCTACTCTGCCTACCCTACTCTATCTACCCTACTCTACCTACCCTACCTAACCTGCTCTACCTACCCTACTCTACCTACCCTTGTCTACCTACCCTACTCTACCTTTAATACTCTACTCTACCTACCCTACTCTACCAAGCCAAAATTCTTTCACTGATAGATACCTACAATGTTCTTGAGTGTGCTACGATACGATCAAATGGAGCCGAGCAGCGGGTGAAACCGCGCGAGAGTAGCTAGTAATACATGTGATGATATAACATGTACAGTGCCTTGTTTACAACGTAAAAGTTTGCATTAATGGATGGATGGATAGACATATACATATTTTTTTTATGTAATTGGTCGGCAAACGAGCAGACGGATTACCTGATGGTAAGCAATCAGCGCCGCCCCTGGACACCGGAACGGAGGTTTTACGAGTGCGTTGCCGACCTTTTAGGGATTAGGGATTTGGAGATTTAGGGATTGAGGAGGGATTGGAGGAGGGGAAAGATTGGGCCTGCGGTAACCTCACTCACACGGCGAAACACAACGCTGTGGTTGTTTCACGCCGGTCTTCTGTGAGGCCGTGGTATCACTCCAGTCGAGCCGACCCATTCGTGCCGAAGCATGGCTCTCCCACACATGGTTGAAATTAATAAGATGGATGGATAGATAGATGGATGTTTGTTACTTTTCCACGTATCATCATTACCATCATAACAAGCACCATCATCATCATCATCGCCAACTATTGTTAAATAAAGAACAACATAAATATGCCGTACCACTATAGGCTCGGTTTGGGTCAATATTAATACTTCATCAATTTGCAGGTTTCGTGGATAGCATCCGTGCCGTATCTAGTATGTATACCGGCTGACTACTTAATGGCGGTACTTAGTGACAAGTTAGGAAGAAAACTCACTTTGTTCTTCACATCTGCTACGGCGTTTGTAAGTAACCAAAAATATGTCTACTGTAACTTGCAAAAATATTAAATTAAACATTCAATTGTGTTGCTTATACTGAATTTCAGTATCGAGGAATTTAGTAAATAAATATTTAACAACTGCTGGTAAATGGTCATGGATTCCTTCAGCAACGAATTACAAGTGCGTTGCCAAGCTTTTGGGGGTTATAAGTTTGATTTGGAAATTGGGAATGGGGAAGAGAAGGATTCGGAAGGATTCACTAAGAGGACTGACCGACAGACTGACACTATATCTTCAAAATTTTTGATTGACGTTCAAAAGTGCCTGTAAAGGTCTAATTGGAATAAATGATTTTTTGACTTTTTTTTTCGGCTTCTGGTATACTGAGTCACACGTCGAAAGGCAATGCACGCGTTGTTTCATTTAATGGTCTGTATAGCGAGCCAATTTTGTCAAAGCATGACCCTTCCAAAATGAACACGTAAAACACTGGTACTTATCAACCTAACATGTTTAGATACAGTCTTGATTTAAAGTAGCGTTTTTATGTTTTAGCTGGCTTGGACGATAAAACTGGCATCTATGGAAGTATGGGCATTCATCTTAGCCAGAGCACTGTTTGGGATAACAATGGCAGGGGCTTACGTCACATGCCCATTGTACACTAAGGAGATCAGTTCAGCAAATGTCAGAGGAACTCTTGGTGCTTTGGTAAGAAAATTTTTACTGGAGGAAAAGTTTGGACGGAGCAGAGGATGAAAGAATATATTGCCAAGCAAACGTACATTCTCCAGTCGTTACAGAAATAATAGATATTTGACATCACTTCAAAATCTTGGGATTAAAGAATCGTCTTTTAAGCTATTGTAAAAAGTCCAAAACATAAAGAGATTGAGATTGCTTACTGGTTTTGGATGCTAGTGACTACTTACTCGGAACAGTGTATCAGAGCTCATTGTGTTACCTGTAATGAGCTCTGCTATGCAATGCAATGTTACCATTTGAAAAGTTTAAAGATCTTAAAGGCTTTTTCGAGTTGAAATTTTTTGAATCGAGAAGAGCCGTACTCCATATGTTAACGCGCTTTGGATCTTCAACCAAATCAAGCTTCTTCTTTCTTTTCCAGGTGGTATTATTCCATACGACGGGTAATCTCTTCCTCTATATTATTGGAGACATACTAAGCTACAGAACTATTCTTTGGATCTGTCTAATGCTACCAACCGTTCACTTGATCCTCTTCATAATGATGCCCGAATCTCCATCGTATTTAATCAAGAAAGGAAAGACAGATGTAAGTTGCATTTTTATTATTATATTAACATTAAATACTTATAAGCGTACGCTTTGTTGATATGTGGCGCAGTAATTTGCGTTGTCTGTAACAGTATTGACCAGTTTTTTTATTGTTTTTTTTTTAATTGATTGGCTAAATTCGAAAATGATGCATTGCCATTGATAGTATTTTTGCATTTAAATATTTCGCATTATAACAACATCTGGATAACAGATAATGTAGTAGACAAAATAACGATGATTTTTAAGCATATCTTCCTAAATAAGTAAAAACATATTTACTGGGTTACTTTACGATTGATGGATTAGTTAACTTACTAGTTAGGAGGCCCAGTTCTTTTCCCCTATCCTCAATCCTCAAAACCTATCCCTAAATCCCTAATGCCACAAGAGACGCACTTGTAGAAACTCCTGTGGTATAACGAGTATCTATAGGCGGTGCCGATTGCTTACCATCAGGTAATAAGCCTGCTCGTTTGCCCGACGTATACCATCAAAAAAATAAATAAATACATATATATGTATTTGTATTTTGAAACCTTTTTGAGTGGAACTGGTATACAATGACTGGTTATACGCATATTTACACCATCAATCAATACAGGTTTGCTAAAATTAGCGTAAGTCCATTAAATCATTCAGAAGATAAAACGTAGCATTTATATAATAAAAAAGTCTAGAAATTCGATGACCTTGAACTATTAGTTTGCGGTAGTATTTTTTCAAAGGACTTTATTTTGGTCTTCTAAGAATGTTTGCTTTAAGCATATAAAATCTGAACTGGTTTTAATTTTAGTGTCCAACCAGTTTTTGAACTGGGCTCTCCACATTTTCAAAATCAAATATCAAAAAAGTCTTCTACCGCCCTGGATGGGGTGCGAGGGAGTGTCAGACTGTTACAGACTCCCCTGTTCCTTCTTCTATTTTGACTCGACCACGGTACATCATTACATTTACACCTGCAACCGTGCCAACACTTTTATACTTTAGAGCACACATTTGCGCTAGATATTTTCTGCTTGTATTACTAAGCTTAAACTAAAGAAGACCAAATTACAAATTACGCTAAAATATCTATAATTTCTGTTTCGGTTAAAATGGGTAAATTGCGCTGATTTCCGGACCTACAGGCTCAAATCTAATAATTATTTTTGTAGAAAATAACGACTTACATAAATTGACTTAGAAAAGCTTGAAATCAGATGCAATCAACAATTCGATGTTGCTGTAACGGGCATGCTGGTCCTCTATTTAAGAGTCCTGCTCTGACTTGAAACCAGTAGAGCTTTTTTCACTTAATTCACGTAGTAATTTAGATGTCTAACAAAAGTCCTAGTCGAGAATTATGTTTGTTTTGAATTGCACATGTATCGTGGAAGGTCATAAGCTAATAAAACATCTCGCTACCAATCGGCCAATACAGCGGAGGAGTAGCTATCATTCTAATAATAGTCCATGCACGTTTCTTCTACAGATGTATACAAACAAACGTCAAGCAGTGAATTTCCCATTTTCAACAATGCTCTGAGGTATTGACGGAATATTAACGTGATATTTAATTAAGATAACATTGCTACTACTTCCAAATATTAACATTAGTTTACCATTTGTGTTTGCATACGAAAATCTTATTTAATTAGAGATAACTGACGTGTGTTTATTGTTATATCATCATGTTCATTTATGTAGAGAGGAGTAGGAATAGTAAATTTTAAGCTAGTCGCAATACTCTAGTGTGAGAGAGCCATGCTTCGGCACGAATGGGTCGACTCGACTGGAGTGATACCACCGCCTCAAAGAAAACCGTCGTGAAACAACCACAGCGTTGTGTTTTGCCGTATGAGTGAGGTTACCGGAGGCCCAATCCTTTCCCTCCCCCAATCCCTCCTCAATCCTAAAATCTTCAAATTCCTAATCCCTAAAAGGTCGGCAACGCACTCGTAAGTCCTCCGTTGCGGGGTATCCATGGGCGGCGCTGATTGCTTACCATCTGGTAATCCATCTGCTCGTTTGCCGACCGACTAAATTAAAAAAAAAAACCACTAGGGATGATAAGAGCGTAAAAAATCGAAATGTAATTAGGTTTCCAGTGAAATATGACCACGTGAATTGACACGAATTCATTTGTGTTCCGTAGCCGAATGGCAAAAACAGAACCATTATAGGTTCGTCATGTCTCTTTATCTTTATGTTTATCTGTTAGTACGTCTCCGCAACTTTTCTTTTCCGAAACTATAAGAGCAAGATCATGACTATATGGGAAAGTCGTCAAATGACTTCTCCCGCCCTTTGTGGGTTTGGTGGGAGTGCCAAACACCTGGTTCCTTCTTCGTGGTGCATTGTGGCCCTGGTAGTCACATTCCCTAAAGTGTGTCTCAGAAAGAAAAACAAAAACATATTATAAAATCCTTAATAGATAAATTAAATGTTAAAATCAATAATTCTTATAAAATGTTGCTTTGCAGGAAGCCATCAGATCAATGGCGTGGCTCAGGTGCAGACAAGAGGACGACCCACAGGTAATAAGCGAAGTTAATCAAATCAAGAAAGAACAAATGAAAGACGAAGAAAGCAATGGATTCGTTCTAAAGGCCATACGTAAGTATAACAGTAGTAAATTAGAGTACGATAGATTTCAATCTTGGAATGCAGGACGCTACCAACCCCGAATACTAGTCATTGAAGGAGAGCTGACATTCACCGTCACACATCTAAAATAATGATGCTGTTAAGAATTAGACATGGTATTTCAATCATTAGTTAATGTAACTCGGCTTATATCCACAAATATTACAAAGTTCGAAGTAGTGCCATCGATTATTTTTGTTTCTTTTTTTTTTTATTTAATGGGTCGGCAAACGAGCAGACGGATTACCTGATGGTAAGCAATCAGCGCCGCCCATCACACTCGCAACGGAGGAACTACGAGTGCGTTGCCGACCTTTTAGGGATTAGGGATTTGGATATTTAGGGATTTAGGAGGGATTGGGGGAGGGGAAGGATTGGGCCTCCGGTAACCTCACTCACACGGCGAAACACAACGCTGTGGTTATTTCACGCCGGTTTTCTTTGAGGCCGTGGTATCACTCCGGTCGAACCGACCCATTCGTGCCGAAGCATGGCTTCTTCTTCAATATCACGGAACTTTTTACTTATTTGTTTTAGTACGCCAAAGTCTCAATAGCTGTAAAGATCCTACCATGACAAGACAAAACCTATCTACACTCAATGAGTAACAATTGAATCGCATGGTCGTGGTCGCTCAATGAGCTTGATTGAAGTTATTAATAGAGAGAATCACCAAAATAAAATCATTGGATGAAACGTCGTATTACTCGATTTATGATTGGATGACATTGAACGGTTGCATGCATCGCTTTTGACAGCAGGCAGGAGAGAACAAGATTTTCAATTGAATTGCTTATTTGAAAATATAACTAGCTTTTGCCTGCGAATTAGTCCCAGTAAAATTTCATTATCGTTATAGCGCGGGAACCCTTCATTTATATGATTTGGGACAAAAAGGAAAAAAAAAATCTAGACTGAAAGTAGCATAAGTTACTCCTGACTGCATCAGTTATCTTCCAATAAAAATAGGTCCAGCTAGAGTAAAATACTCCTATAAAATGAGACTAAAAAATATTTCTTACGTATTGAACCAGTTCATACCCTTGTGACAAAAGAGTTGTTAGACTGTCTCGGCATTCCTTTTCAGAGTAGTCTACTGAAATAATACGTCTAGGTTTGCGTAGTTAACAGCTTCGTTAAGTGTCTTTTTACACCCGGTATGACCCATTTACAAAAATAAATTCATTGTTTGAAATAAAACATGCGACATTATATTATTATTTGCATTCAAGTCATGGGGACATCTTTTTTAAGCCTACTAGTACAAATATTGTATCATAATGTTTAAATTTTTTCTTGTTTGTACAGTACCGTGCGAACTTTATTTGCACATTTTATTTGACAATAGTTAAGAAGAATAAATATAACTTATTTTAGAAAGATTTCTATAGGAATTGACATTGATAGCACTGTTGATACAAGGGTGAAACGAGGTGAATAGAATTCGGGAGGTGAATAGACGCAAAAAAGGGATGAATCGATACTAGGAAAATTCACCAACACCTATTCACCCCGTTTTACGGTAGTGGATGAGCAATAGGCGGTAACTTTACAATTTGTCACTGGCTCGATTGAAGCAATGTTTCTGAAGAGAAATTATGTTTTGTGGTAAAACTTAAAGATCTTATTCTAATTCTAAAAATTTTTCTAAATATCTACGTTTTTTTTCCATAGCTCAACGTTTTCAATGTTTCTTTGTTCAGAAAAGTTTTGCATTGTGTTTTTTTTTTGTTTTGGTGTGAATTAGGAAAAACATGAAATGACTTCTCCCGCCCATGGATAGGGCAAGATGTAGTATTTGACTCCATTTGAGTAAAAAACACCCTGTTCCTTCTCCTCTTCCAATAAAGCGGAGAGGCAGTATTTGAATGCGCTTGCACCGACACTTACGAAAATATTTGCGACATTTTACCCAAATTTTTCCCTGTTTAACTTTTAATACTTGTGTTATTTTTTCAGTGCAAGACAAAATTCTCATAAGGGCGTTCATAATAGCGATGGTATTAGCTCTAGCTAGAGAAGTTTGCGGTAGTATACCAGTACTGAACTTTGCTGGGGAGATTTTCTCCATGTCTTCTGAAGGTTCTGGCATAGTCCTGACTCCTAATCAACAAGCCATGACTCTTGGAACGATGCAGGTCATTGGAGCAACCTTGGCATCATTCACTGTGGAAAAGGCTGGGAGAAAGGTATGATATTATGTTAATAATCGTTTTTCCTTGTATGTGGTCAATAATCAAATGATTTCTCCTACCTTAAATAGGACGAAATCTTTTCACACATCATTAGCCTATGATCAGTGCCAGTTTCAGTATCTTACTGTCTTTTAGTCAGTAAGATTCTGAACCTTCCTTCCTTCTGGACCTTCCTGTTTGTTTTTCTGCTCCGGCTGGACTTGTTTCTATTTAATAGTTTAAAATGGTCGATTTGCCATTTGCCAGCGTAGTCAACGTTCAAGCCATTCAACAATGCTCAACTAGTAATGGCACAAATAGGCTGTTGATGATAACATGTATAAAACCATTACTTAATTTCATTTTTTTTAATTTCATTTTTTGTCCTCAGTCACTCTTCATAGCCACAGCTCTGGTATCTGGACTGAGTATGTGTGCTCTAGCCTCCTGGTTTGTGGCCCGCGAGTATAGCGTCTTCGCTCCAGCTTGGATACCCGTCGTTACTCTTTGTTTGTGCATCTTCTGCGACGCGCTTGGCTTACAACCAGTGTCTGTCATTGTCATAGGGGAGATTTTCTCTTTTAAAGTGAGTGTTTTAAATTAATTATTATGTTTGTTCTTTCCTTTCACGGGACCACAGGGTCCCGGACCTTTGGAAGGCATACGAGGAGCCGAAGCCAACCCGCAGAGGCCCGTTGAACAATTTTAATCTAAATGGGACATCAGCCGGCAATTATCCCTGTATGCACTATAAAAGTGCACCCAAGGACAATTCCCGGTTGATGCAGGACTATTGTAAAATGTGGTAAAAATTGATAGTACTAGTGTATGAAAACTATGGAAATACTTTGGCCCCTGCCTCTGACCAATATTGATACATACGGATAAACAGGCAGGGGGTGACTGGCAAACTCAATTAATGGGCCCCCGGAAACGGCCGCTAGCATGTAGCGACAAGGGGACAACATACGTTGAGCTGTTTGGGGAAGGAGAGGCATCTCACGGCTATCAGAGCAATCCCGGAAGTACGGTCAAGACCCCTACCAGTACCTTACTGCGATACATCCTTTCCCCGAGTCTCCTTCAACTCCTACTCTTGCGAATCTCCACTTGTTTAGATGTGTAGTTTATCTATAGCTCCATTAAAAACGCTATCCTAAAGCATAAGCGTAACGAAATTTCTAATTATAAATATATTTTATCTAAAAACCAACTAAATTTCCTTGTTGGGTTTCAAAGAAAATTTGAAGGTTATTTTACGGGACGGGACCAATATGTGTAATCTTCTCATAAAGATTAGTTTTATGGTTCGACGATCTTAAAGTAGAAGAAAAACTCACCCATAATTTTATCTTTCTAGTACCGGGGTTCAATAATGGCGATCACGATGTCAGCTGCATCAGTAGCTGCCTTCGCCCAAACACTATTCTTCAAGCCTCTTGTAAATGCAGTGGGAGGACCTCACGTTGCGTTCTTCTTCTTTGGAGCAGTTTGTCTGTTAACAACTGTCTATGTATGCATCTGTGTACCTGAAACTAAGAAAAGAATTTTGGAAGAGATCTATGAAGACTTGAAGACGAAGAAAGAAAAGAAAATGGATAGAGAAAAGGCATTAGCCATTGAAGCGGGAAAAGTGGAAGCTTAAGAAACTAGTAACAGTAGATAGACAATAAACTTTTATAATATAATTTATGTTCTCGTTTTATTTCGACTAAGACAATCCATTCAACTGTATAGATTTTCACTTTGAACATCTTAATCGCATTGTTATTATCTTTATTATTTTGCCAATTAATCATGAAATAATAATTTTTTTTCTGACTTTGATACGCAGACATTGTAGTGCATACATGTTAAAGGAATATAACATGTAGATTCTTAGCATAATATATATAATAAAATGTTGCGTAATACTGTTTTACAAGTCTACATACAATAAATGGCCTTACCATTAAATGACGATAATCAAAATTAGGTACTAATTAATGAATCAAAATTGATACAGAGATAGATAATACTAACATGGTGAACTTAATGTGCCACCACATAAAGTTGCAAGTGAAAATTATTAACCATCAAACAATATAATTAATAAATAATTTACAAATGGCTCCACCGGTGTAATACAGAAAACCGACATGAAACCACCACAGCGTTGTATTACATTGTGTGAGTTAGGAGAGTGGATAAGTAATCTCTAAATTCTCCGAAACCCTAATTCTTCAAAGGCCGGCAAAGCACTCGTAACTCCTCTGGGGTTGTGAGTGACCATGGGTGGCGCCGATTGCTTACCATCCGTATGCTCGTTTGCCACCCTTTCATATAAAAAAGATTATACTGGTCAAAAGAACGTATATGGTAATTAAATTATAAAATACTCGTGTCTTGAAAACATCGGTAGCCATAAAAATAATTGAATGCATTGTTAATTTTAAGCTTTCAAGTTGATTACTTCGTCAATATTTACTTTTAAGACTAGTTCAACACTGTCATCGTCTTTTACCTTAATAAAGTCTTGTTTGTTTGCGATAGTACAACTACTAAGACGCTCATTAATGACAAACTTTTCGTCAACATGCAAAACAGAAGAACTTATATTAAAAAAGAGTTTTTGAGTATTTTCTCGCCTTTTTACTTTGTAAATACTCTTTTGTGTATGAGAAAATACAATATCAACGGCAATAATGTGGAAATCGTTACGATTAAAAACGTAGTGGGAACAATATTTATTACTTGTGCTATGATTGGTTACTACTACGCTACGATGAAGTTTACTATCTTCAAATCTATTGAATACATTAGTATTTACAATGTGATTTACTTCGAATATTTGTTCAATTTTGTTTCTGTCTGCATTTTCAATTTATGCTACAGTACTAGAAACGTGCGTTTGGTTTTTATTCTTTATGATATCAACAAATGTCTATACAGATGTTCTGATACAAAAAAGTTCAAGAAAGCATCTTGTATATCAACTGCTTTCCTTTTCACTTCTTGTTTTCTTTTGACTGTTTTCAAATTATTTTACGATCCCAGCTGGACAATAATGAGAGCATTGTATGTTTCAACATCCATACTCTTAGATTTAGAACTAATTCATATAAGCATTTATATTTATATACTTACTTCCAAAATCAAACTATGGAATAGAAATATCAAGTCTATCGATTTTGGAGATAATAATAATGAAATAGCAATCGATAAAATTTCTCTGTTAGAAGAGTTGGAGAAAACGATAATTTCAATGAACGACGCTTGGGACATAATTATGAAGACATCAGGATTTAGTGTAATTATATCTTTCCTATACTCCTGGAACATTGCTGAAAAACATAAATAAAGAGAAGATTGTATACTTTGGGGTAAAAAGTGAAAACAATAGACTTTTTAAACCAATAGATTCAAGTTTCAATACATAAAATAAAATGTGGTCGAGGAATGTGTTAATAATTTTATATTTTTTTTAGATATTAATCCACTTTATAACAACGTTTGTTCAAGTTTTGGTATACGTTGGGGTTTTAATAATTTGGTCAAATGCTGATTTTGTGAGTAATGATTTTAATACTTACTTAGGTCGCTGTGAAATAGCAAAAAATCAGTCTTAGTGCTACGAATTAAAATTTATTATTGCTAATACTATTACAGGAGGATTTCAATATAGCCATAAGTCATTTATTTGGAGTACTTCTTTGGGTGACGAAAGTACTTGTCGTGGAACTAGGACTATGTATTGTTTGCGAAGCGTTTTATAAAGAACTTTCCAGAGCACAGGTCACTGTGGTTTCAAAATTGTCTCAGGATTGTAAGTATGGATAAATTTTATTTGATTATTTAATTTTTTAAGAGATATGTTGTCAAACAAGTTGAGGAATTACCAACCTGATGGTAAGCAATCGACGCCGCATGTACAGTCAGGGGTTAAAATTACAATTACACTCTACCAATTTTAAAATGACTAAAATTTATTTGTAGTAAAAGTTCAATGGTTCACAGCCAGTTTATTCAATAATTTGGATTCTATACTATAAATTAAAGCAGTCCTCAACCATTTACTCTATTGCACAAAGATATTTTGGTCATTTTAAAATTGGTAAAGTGCAATTGCATTTTTGACCCCTGACTGTACACTCGTAATACCAAAGAAGTTGTTACATGTGCGTTGCCGACTTTTATGGATAAATAGGGATTTAAGTTTGTAACACTCACTGTTGACTATCAACTGCATGACTTATCGATGACCTTCAGAAGTATCCATATATTTGTTTTGTTTCTAAAACGAACTATTGTTGATGCTGAACTTGTCCAACCTTCATGATTTTTTGGGAATTTATAAAGCTCACCTTTTGTAGTAAATCATACCACATAACACCTATAAGTGACAAAATGTTGAGCGAAGGCCTCATTCCTCATAGCGAAAAATTTAACGTTAATCACGAAGATATGCTGTTAGCATGCGCGATAATGTATCGTGCTCCCGGCTAGGAGAAGGAGAAGGAACAGGATGGTTTTTAGTCAGTTAGAATAAGAGACTGACACTCTCTTTTGCCTTATCTAGGAATGGAAAAGTAATTTAATGAGCTACCACTATATGATTGTGTATACAGAGCGAATTCATGATTTAACATTTTTATTACAGTAAATTTAAAAAAGGTTTGGAAAAACATATTTCGGGTGTTAAGCCAAGAATTCGATCCTCTGACGGCCTGCGGGATCTTCAATATAGAAGCTAAAACTCTGCTGAATTTCTGTAAACTTATTGCTACTTATACAATTGTAATATTACAATTTGCTTTCTTGTAAATTTTTTACTAAATACAGATTTTTCAAAATTAAGCTGTTTTTTATCATTATGTCTTTTAACCCCAAATGAGCTTTTTATGTTTTACCCCGGCAAACGCGCAGACGGATTACCTGATGGAATGCAATCGGTGCGGCCCATGAACACTCGCAACACCATAAGAGTTTCAAGTGCGTTGCCGGCATTATGCGGGTAGGAGGTTTTGCGGTTTCAATTATTGGAGAGGCGTAGGGCAGGGGAAGATTTGGACTTCCTCGGTAACCTCACTGACTAGGCTGAAACAACGCTGTGGTTGTTTCATCTCGGTTTTCTACGGGGCCTGGGCCTAGCCATATGGTATCGGGACGGTCGAGCCGGATCATGGCTGGATCTTAAAATTACATGGATCTGCTTCACTTCAAAGATTAGAGCAAACATTTTTGGCATTTATCGGGCACCAAAGCAGATTCCCTGATATTACTGAGATACCAGGGCGGGTCAATAAGTCCGTGACTTTTTTATTTTTCCGCTTCTTAATTGGAATGGCAACACTGCTCCCGTCAACAGTCATCTATCAGATGACTCCTGTCGAAAATTGAACAAGCTGTGACATTTAGTTAGTTTTTTACAGCCGTTAGGCTGTAAAATGTAATATATATCATATAAAAAAAATGTAATATATAACATATAATAATATCAGACTACCGTGTTGATTGAGAAGAAAATGGTAAAAAGTGAATTTCGTGTGCTCATTAAGCTTTATTTTTGCGGAAAAAATCCATTACGCAAACCAAAGCTAAGCTTGATAAATATTACGGGGACTCTGCACCATCCATTTCCATGGTAAAAATGTGGTTTACTGAATTCCGATGTGGCCGTACCAGCACAGAAGATGTTGAACGTTCTGGACGCCCATTTGAGGTCTCCACATCCGAAACCGTTGAAAAAATCCGCGATATGGTTTTAGCCGATCGACGAATAAAAGTGAGAGAGATTGTGGAAGCCATGGGCATCTTGCATGGCTCAGTGGTTTAAATTTTAAACAATCATTTGGGTATGAGAAAGCTTTCCGCAAGATGGGTGCCGCGTTTGCTCACAATCGACCACAAACGCAAGCGTGTGACAATTTCGCAGGAATGTTTGGGGTTGTTCAATCGCAATATGAACGAGTTTTTGCGCCGTTTCTTAACCTTGGACGAAAGGTGAATCCACCACAGTATACCAGAGACCAAACAACAGTCAAAACAGTAGGTTTCTCGGGGTGAATCGACGCCAAAGAAGGCTAAGATGGGTTTGTCAATAAATAAAGTCATGGCGACTGTTTTTTTAAATGCACGCGGTATTATCCACATTGACTACCTTCAAAAAGGAAAACCAATCAATGGTGAATATTACAGCAACTTATTGGGTCGATTCGATGAGGCATTGAAATAAAATCGACCACACTTGGCCAAGGCTTGCTTGGCTCGGTGGAAAGAGATTTGCGTCCAACGACGAAGTCATCTTACAAACAAATGCCTATTTTAAAGACCTCGACAAATCATACTTTTCGGAAAGGATAAAAAAATTGGAGAAACGTTGGGCTTGGTGTATAGAGCCCAAAGGAGACTACGTTAAAAATAAAATAACATTTTATCAAAAAAAATTTGTTTCATTTAAAAAGTCACGGACTTATTGACCCGCCCTCGTATTTACGAAAATCCCAAAAAATCCTGATTATGCTTTTCCCGACCCTTTAAAATCTCATTAATTTCAAAGATAAAAACTGTTATTCACATAATAGTTTTATAAACCGTTGTGGCTCATAGCTTAAGGCGGCCATTCCACATACAAGAGGGTAAAGATTCAAAACTTAGTAGTATAAGTGTGACTTTTTCCGAGTCATATTATAGTGTCTTGATAATAAGATTATTTATCTTGATAATAAAACATTGTGAGAAAATTTGAACTTTTACTTGTGCAATCGTAGTGATTAATGGTTATGGCCATCTCCGTGTGAAAAGTGGTCATTGACAACAGCTTATAGGTTGCTAATGGATGGAATATATAAATGGGACGTTAATGTCAGGTAAAAGAGGCTACACGATTTAAAGTAAAATTGTATCAACTGATTATCACAAAATAAGTAAGAAAAGCAAGGGTATGAAACATTAAAATCAAAAAATACTAAAGAGAATGGTCTGCTAGGTTAAGATAACAATATTAAATATTTACAATTAATTAAACTACCTACCAAACATGTCCTAAATAAGGATTTATTAATTAATAACAATTGTTTTGACAATGATAGGACCAGCTTAATAATTTTAATGGAAATCTATATCCATTTAAACAATTTTGGGCTTGTGAAACAAACTGGTTCATTTGTGCTATTGGTCTGTTCGCAAAATGAAGTCTATAAGAGTGAAAAAGCGCGTGAATAGAAGGGAATTGTATAAATTTTCGGATTGCCCTGATAATTCTGTCGATAAAGATGTTCAGGCAATGTTGTTCCCTTTAAATTTGATCCATAATATTTTCCTATGCCCGAAGTACCGTATCAAAGACAACTTCATTTACCCTAACAGTCTTAAAATGACCTTTGTTTCATTCGTAGGCACCATTGCTTACATCTTTTTATTCATGTACCGTGCCTACGAACTGCATATCGATAAAGTCATAAGAAAGCACATCAATTTAACATACATTAACGCTGTCTTTGACTTTTTCTTGTACTGCATTGGATACTCTATTAACTATACCGTCAATGTATTATACACTAAGAGGAATATTACTTTCATCATGAAGTTTCAAGACGTTCACAGATTTTTGTACGACAAAAGTGAATTTAAGCGTTTTATTTACTGGAATTGGATCAGTGTTTTCTTGGTTTATGGCTTAAACATTTATGTTGTCACTTATTTTTATATAAGACTCAACCTTAATAACTACTATATCATCTGCGGATTTGCTGTTATGTGTTTTGATATCAATATCATATATGCTATCAGAATTATTAAGTTACTGAGTGATAAGGTCAAAATTTGGAACATTAAGCTCCAGCACTTGCAAGAAATAGACAAAAATGACGTTCATATCTATTGCAAAAAAATGTTTCAAGCTTACGAGAATATTTTGGAGTGTTACGACATCTTTAGAAGTACATACCAACAAATTGTAAGAACTGGTAAAATACTATTGAAGTACAAAAAATGGGTATGCTGTTTAATTTGTTTTTTTTTCAGATTGTATTTCACTCTACAGAGCTTTTCTTCATTGCTTTGATCAAATTGCAAATAACGATAAAGGTATTCAAAATTGCCGTGTTCGGAGGAGATTTTGTTTATGTGAGTATTTCTCTTTTACATTGATCTTCAACGTCACCATACCTAGGTGACTAGGAAAATAAAAGTATATCGATTATTAGGTTTGTAGAAAGACAGAAGAAATAGTCGTTTTTACATGACTTTGTGTGCTTCAAATACCAATTTTACACCTGTGCAATAAAAGTTGTGCGAACCAAAAATACAATTCAAGACATTTTCCAAAAGTATAATTTAAAAATCATTAACTTTTCAATTTTATTTGACAGCTTGCAGCTTGGATTTCTGTAATATTTCTATACGTTTGGATTATAAAGAGTGTTATATCCGAAATAATGTTGAGTTCGTACTGTGAGAAGTTCTACATTGCGATGGATAATGTTAAGGATTCGTGCGCAGCCATTTTCAAATCGGAATGTTCAGGTAGTTATTGTTTATTAATATCGAGAATATCTATACTAATGTGATAAAGAGCCGAACAACGCCGCGCGGGACTAGTTTATAGTTAGGGAATATAGTTAGCCGACTGTAAAATTTTGTTGAGAGGTAAATAAAGGCTTTGTGTGTTATAACAGAAAATGAAAATTATTCTCTATTATTGAGCACATGTCTTTTAGTAGTTAGAGATTTGAGGATTAGAAAAACATGACTTAAGTTTAAGTTTCTTTAGCAGATTTCCTTTTAGGATGTGGTATTCTTCCATTCGCTCTGGCTCTGCTACATATGTATTACATTTCTTCTTTGTACTAATCACTTAATTTTTTTACTACCTACAGAAGCTGAGAAGCAGTTGTCCAGAAATATTGCGCGCCTACATCGAGCGTCATTCCATAAGCTGAACGTTTGCGGCATGTTCTACATTGACGCTACTTATCCTCTCAAAATGACAGCTCTTCTTACAAACTACACCGTCGTCTTGCTGCAGTTTGCGTTCTTGTAAATGTGAACCTTGTCATATTTTTGTTAGATATCATATTACTTTGGAGTATCATCATGATAATTTTTTAAGTATGTATTTGTTCTTTCTGGTATGAATGTTACGCCATTGCAATTTCCTCTTTCTTTTTTATTGATTTTTAACGATGTCATAGTATTTATGTTTGAATAAAATAAATTTTAGTCAAGAACATAATATTAATAATGTTTTAAGTATAGTTTCCAACACATCTCGCTGGTTAAATCGAATTTTAACTATTTAATGCGGTACTTATCGAATGAATTATTGTTGACAAAACAAATTAATCAACAGAAATATAATGAAATACTATTGGATCATTTAGTTGGAACTATGAGTAATATTTGTTTTCATTACTTGCTTGTACCTACATTAAACTGTGTTCTGCTCCGCTGCTGCAGGTATAAAAATATATGGAAAACTTTTAAAGTTCTGCTTCGAGAAGCCCTGTTTTTTGTAGAAATATAGTACAAAAAAAACTATGCCACTTTTTAATAGCTTTTAAATTGCGCACTTTTCATTAGTTTTCCATTGAAAAACGACGACAAAACATCTCTACTGATGACATCACAAATTCGTTGGTCCCTTAGCCCTTCGTACAATCTTGACTGGTTAGAGCATCGTCCATTTTCCGATCTAAGAGAACTTTATTCTGTCCCTAACCTAAAATGTAAACAGACAAACAACTAAGTTTTTATTCTTAGTAAGTGTTAGTATAGATTGCTTTCTTAACCTTCATTTCAGTCATTACAATATAGCTTTAATTTTCTACGTAGGTGTATAGAACAATGATAAACCTTTACACGCCATCAAAGAAAATACTAGACAAAGAGATTAAGAAAATGCTTTTGCCGTTAAATTTAATTCAAAATATTTTCCTCTACCCTAAGTATAGTATCAAAAATGATAGAATCGATCACAATAACTTTACAATGAGTTTAATGTCTATGTGTGCAACGATATTTTATATAGTTTTGTATTGCTATCGTATCTACAGTTTGCAAAGTGACCCTTTCATTAGGAACCACGCCAGTTTTATGATATTCAGCTCTTATTTTGACTGTATTTTGTATAGTATCGGTTTCATTATTAATTATATCTTCAATGTCTTACAAACGCAAAGTAACATCATTTTCGTCTTGAAACTCCAAAAGGTTCACAGGTTCCTTAAAAACGATATCGAATTAAAGAGTTTCATTATTTGGAATTGGATTATCATTATTTTGATGTCAGCTTTATTCGTCAGTAATTTCATTTTCTTGTTTGTGAAATTCAATCTGACTGTAATTTATTTTTGCTGTGGTTTAACTATGCTATGTTCTGATGTTAATATGATCTACGCCGCCAGACTTATTAAGTTCTTGAGCAACAAATTACGCATTTGGAATATCAGATTTGTCAAAGAAACGCATAACAGTAATACTGACTTCTATTATAAAACTTTATTTGAAGTTTATGTCACTGCTCTGGATTGCTATGACATACATAAACGTTATTCTCAATTTATGGTAATTTTTTATAAATCAGAACAGTAAAATCGAACTAGAAATAATATTTTATTCATTTCATGATATTTTTGTTTGCAGATAAACAACCACACTATGGAATTTATTTATTACGTTATCATTAAGTTGAAAATGATAATCGACATTATTGAAAAGCTTGGAATAGAATATGTCAGTATCCACATATTTTAAACAAGATTATTAATTATAAACAATGTATAGTTCAGTATAGTAGTTTGGACCTTATGAAATCTTTGGAAAGTCTGTTTTGGTTCATGGAAGTAAGGCCCTTGAGGCAGAAATTCATTATAAAATTTTGGTTTTTAGATTTTTTGTATAACATAGTGACTCCATTTTAAACGTGCTCAGTCGGCGGTCTCCGTACCGCCTCAAACAGCTCAAAAATTACAGTTTTATTCCTTTTCAAAGATCTTTTGACAGTAACATAGATACTTTTTATTTATACTTTTTTTATATTATTAAAATATTACACCTATAGAGCAGAAATAAAGACTTCTCTATATTTTACAAGTAGTTTATGCATATTTTATCACTGTTTAAAATTTTCCTGGAATTTAGTTAGTTTAGCAAAATTAGCGACAGTTTCAAACAGCCATATTTGAATATCATAAAAGACTGACGAAAAAAATTTTGTTACAGCTCCAAATGTGGGTAGTAATAGTAATGATGTACATTTGGGCCGGAAAATCTTTGGTACTAGAAATAATTTTGAGTTTATATTATGAACAATTTTACACTGCAATGGACGAAATTCGAAATTCTTCTGTAATAATATTAAAATATAATTGCTCAGGTAAAGTAATAAAATATTTGTATACTTTTTGTCGCACCCTTGTGCAGTTTTGTATTCAGTACGTGAGAGATGCATGCAATGCAAACTGCAAACCCAGTCGAATCCCTAACCCCGAAAAAGCCAGTAGCGTCCTGAAAACGTCTCTGGTGTTGCGGGTATCCAAAGGCACCGATTGCTTACCATCTGATATTTCGGCTAAAACGATTGCGGCCGTAAACAATGTATTATGTTGCAAAATTATATAATGTTTATATTTGAAAATCAAGATGATAAAAGGCCAAATTTGATAAAAGATTTTTTTGCAAATATACCTATCCTAATACGTGTGGAATTTACTATTGTTATTATTATTATTATAATCTACTTACTTGACTTCAAATCAATTCACGGTTTAACCCATTTTTTGGGGAGGGGAAAATCATGAAGTAACTTCTCCCGCCCAGGGCCGGGCGGAAGGGAGTGTCAGACTCTTACTGACAAAAAACCCCCCTGTTCCTTCTCCTGCTCTGGGCCGAGATCGTGGTGCGTCATTGCGCTTACCTCGCAACCCCACGGTTTAATCCATGGCGATAATTTAATAAGAAAGTATTTTTTTATATTACAGACGCTGTGAAGAAGTTATGTAAAAATATTATTCGCCTACATGAAACGACTTTTAAAAAGATGGAAGTCTGTGGTATTTTCTGCATCGATGCCTCATTCCCTTTGAAAATGATAACTTTAATCACTCATTATACAGTTGTAATACTACAATTTTCACTTTTATAATCTATAAATACTTATATTAAGGAAAAATTTGTCTTATTTTTAATATTTATTCGTTTCTTATGTTTTGATTTTACGTCAGAATTTTCTTAATTCATACGCAATATCGCCTGGTGGTAAACGATGCAGCATACGATGGAGCACGCCTACAACTGGTAACAACATTGCTTGATACAATTCATCAAATATAATTTTAGAAATTTAAAAGAAAGAAAGAAGAATAGAAAGAAAAACCATTTATTTAAAAGGATTTTATTTAAATTGAAAAGGACAATTTGTTTAGATTATGAAGCTGGGAAAAACAAATCCTATTGTTGGAAGAAATTTGTATAGTAATATAGTAGTAGTTTACGTATCTTCAATCCTGATAATTGATATATATTGATAATATGATAATTCTATTCGATTACAAATCAACGTAAAGTTTTGTAGAAACTTATAAATAAATGTGTGCCACTTGAGAAAATTGGCATTTAAATATATTTACTGTGTTTTTCGTCGCGTGTTTATGTGGGTGGTAGAAGGTCTGGCTCCTCCTATCCTCAAAACCCAAAACTCTAAACCCTAAAAGACCGGAAACTCACTTGCAACTACTCTGGTGCCGCCATAGACGGCACCGATTACTTACCATCAGGGCTTACATCCATAGTAGTAAAAAGTATGGAAGAGAAGTTTGTTATTTTTCGGATTTTAACGAAATTTAAAACAGAAATAGGTTACAGTATGAAATAACACATGAACTACTTTTTAACCTGGTACTGCAGGCGAAGCCGTTAGTAGAAGATAGTTATGAAATAATGACATTCTAGTTGTGTGAGTATAATTAAATTGAAAGCCCTCTAAATATTAAAATACTAGTATATTTAATGGATTACATAGTAACTAATGATAATGTATTAGGTACACATTACATAATAACATCAAACAATAAAATCCAATTTAACTCAGCCTCTCTGTACATGATTTGTCCGACCACTCAAAGGTCAGTTTAAACTGGTCTTGACCAATTTGATATGTGTAGATGTGTGTACACGTGTACAATTGTTTCCTTTTGAATGAAAACTAATATTATTGTGATATTCTTTAGCAGAATAGTCCGTAGCTAGTTGACTTTGAATCATTCAGTAACATTTGTTAAGGATAACCGAAATAAACATTGAAAACAGTGTTTTATAAATTAGGATAAAACATTTATCTGAAAGCAATTAGACCAAGATATTGAACTAGTTATACGAAGGCAAATGTCCATTTGTGAAAATGAAACCAAACGAATTAAAACAACATTGAAATCTGAAGCATGTTCTAAACGATCAAGCATGCTTGACAAGTATTGCAAAATTATATTTTTCATCAAGCATCGAGTTTGCTTGTCAAGCACATAAAGCTTCGTTCTAGACGGTCAAAATTGGAGGGACTACATAAGAGAGGAACGAAAAACAAAAGAACAACAATATTGTGAAAAGATTCACAAATCTGATTAATATAAGAGTCATATTACTGCAGCATTATAAAAGAATCATGCTAGACAAAGAAATACAATCTATGCTTTTGCCTCTTAACTTAATGCATAACATTCTAATGTTTCCAAAATATCGAATAAAAAACAACAATATCTACCCAAACAGACTCAAAAATTTCAAAACAAACTCACCACCAATATTTGCGTCGATAATACTAACATATTTGTTTAGTCTTCGCATTCAAAAGTTACATCGCTCCATCAGTTCTATAACATCATATTTCTCAGTCTATTACGATTTCTTAGCTTTTCTCATCAACATAGTTGTAAATTTCATCATCAATATTCTGTATACCCAAAGAAATATATATCTTGTCCTCAAGTTCCAGAAGGTTCACAAGTTCCTTTCCGACGTCTGTTTTAATTATTTTGTCATTTGGAA